AAATTCATCATATCTTTAAGTATTACATTTTTACCTTTGTGTATCAATCGACAACTCTCATTATGAAAAGTGTATAAAAACAAGAAAAAACAATGAAAATTTACTGCTTATTTGAGGGTTGTTTCCAAAAAAATATTTTCAATATTTACATATCGCCCTATATACAAGTTTGTTAAATTAGTGAAAATACAAAAATATAGAAAATTAATTCAAAAAGTCCAATCAGATCAAATTTAAAGTAGAAAAAGCAAAGAACGTCTATGGACGGAGCAGGTGCTATCAGGTGACGAGAGTTAGTTAGCGTTTTCTCGAATCTAATTCTCATGTTCCATGCTTGTAATGTATTATTTATCAAAAGCTGGTGTGTTTGGGGGTCCGTGTTCTGAATAAAGACATATATTTAGCAAAACATTCTTTGTCAATTTTGGTTCGTTTAAAGTTTCAATTTTCTTGTTACATTCTTTACATGTAAAAAGATTTTTTTAATGCAACAGAAAAGAATTGAATTGTTGCTTCTATCTGTTCTATTCGGACAATTTGAAATCACAGGGTTTTACCAAAATCAAGAGCTTAAAATCATACGACTTTTCACACAACCATTCCACACGATAAATTAATGTCCAGGCTTTTTGATATCATAGAGCTACTTTTTCAAAAAGAAATAGAACTCGAGAATTTACTTACTTGGTCATTGGTCATCTGCAAAATTATTTTGTTAAAAACATTCTGATTGTAGACATAAGTACTCTGAAGTTGACAAAAAAAAAGATGCTTGAGTTTCTGATTGACAATATCTATGTGATTGTTGGAGACCACGTCTTCTAACAATCTATTAAAATTCCCATGGGCACCCGTTATTATCAGATCTATTTTGCATTCCTATGAAGCAGAATATGTCCAACATCTTATACCTTGGTGCTTCAAACAAAGAAAACACTTCCTTTGGCCTTCAACTCGACATTTAGATATATCGACGACGTATTGTCAATTTACAATATTAACTTCAATTCTTATGTCGATACGATACTAGTATATCCCGATGAGCTTGAAATAAAAGATACCACAGAGTTTGGCACATATGTTTCATATTTGAATATGGTAATCTAACAACCAAGCTCTATGATAAACGTGATGACTTTATCTTTAACATCGTCAACTTTCTTTACTTATTCAGCAATATACGTTCATCACCTGCATACGGAGTTTACAGATCTCAGTTGATTCGATACGGAAAAGCATGCTCTACGTACATGTATGAACGATTTCTAAAACGAGGTAAATTATTGACAAACAAGTTGATAAAACAAGAATATCAGCAGTCTTGTTCAAAGTCACCATTGTGTAAGTTCTATGGTCGATACAATGACCTTGTCAGCAAATGCAATTCATCATTGAGTCAAATGCTGACTGACGTTTTCATACTAATTGTTAGTCCATTATTTATACACTGAATTGACGACGGATTTTTTCCGTTATTTCTTTATCATGGCAAGGAACACACAGCGGGTATGACTGGTGAGCAGGGGATGCTCACTCCTCCAGTGCGACTGATCCCATCTCTGATGTTTTGGAGGTCCGGGTTTGCTCTGCTCCTTTTTTGTATCGTTTTATTGACTTTTGATAATTGAATACTATTTGTGTGTGTTTGCTCTGCTCCTATTTTGTATTGTTTTATGGACTTTGATATTGAATACTGTTCGTTATCTCCACATTCTTTATGGAAAACATATAAGTTGACCAAATTGAACAATTTTGTCTTCAATTTTTGATAATTCCTGATATATAATACTTTTCATATTATTATTCAATATCTATGTTTAGGTAAAGTTAAAATCAAAAAATGAATAAATAAATAGACTGGGAAAATAATTAAATTTTATTTGCTGAATGACACTTAAATAATATGTTATCACAAGGAAGTGACAAATTAAACAACCTATGAAGAGTTTTAAACTCTCCAAACTTTTCAATGAAATGTATCAATAGATATTAAAAAAACTATTCTAAAAATAGAAAGATGCCAAGTAAATCCTAGCTAGAGTTCACATGTTTAAAAAAATATGTTTAAATGTAATTGGTAATATTTACATTGTATCGGGTGAAAATTCCAGTCAAGTGAATGCAAGCGTTTTAGCTTTCGAATGGGTGACCTCTACGTACAATACACAAGTAACATAAGGTTTTCATTCACTGTGGAATAGCTATGACCACGATAATGGCGTTTACTTATTCAAGCTAGAACATTTCCCAAACACATTTCGGAAAACAAAGATTAAAATAGAATTCTTTCTGGGCAGTGCTGTCCGTCAAGACAGTACGAAGTTACCAAAGATACCTTCCAGGTAGAATATAAAAGTGGTGTTGCTGACAGGGTACGTTTTTCTTACATTTTAAAATGTTCTTTCTCATTAACTTTATACTTCAAATTAAATTGACATTTCTTTAAAGTGTGTCATTGTGTAGGAATACTATTAGAGTATATCTTTCTTTTGGTCTTAAATACTGTTCGTTATCTTCATATGTTTCATTCCTTGGTTTTAGAGAATGCCAGTTTTCTTGGACAATCATATCTAGGAGAGCAACCGAAAGAGATAACAATGCAAATTTATAAATCTAAAACTGATAAACATGACATATACATCATCACCACTTAGAATTGTATTCCAATAGATGCACATTTATCAAACGGTAAATATATTAACAGCAATTTGTATTTTTTGAAACGGTTACAGCTGCCCTCACGTTAAAAGTTATATAAATGTCAATGATGTAAAGAAAGAGGGCGTATAAGGCTTAGACAATCCCCCGCTATGAGAAAAAATGTTTCTCAATTTTCAAAATTCACAGAAAAGTTATATTTTTCTAAAATCATGTTCTGAGTAATGTCATCTTTAAAACATTTTAACAATTTATTTTACTGAGCGACTTATTATTTGATAATCTTGACTTTTAAGTTGACAGTTAAGCATATTTAGTGGAAAATGGGTTTACTAGATACTACAGCTATAAAAAATGAATTTTGAACATGAATGGGTCAAGTCTCCATTCTTCGTTAACGCTTTCATGTTGGAAACGTAAATGCGAAATCTATTTCATTCGTCCAAAAAATGGAATCTGAACCCATTCTATATGAAAATCGAAAATTTCTGAAAAAATGCAAGCTTCAACAAACCCGTTCATTTAAATCACATTGACAGACATCGATAATGCATATACTTCGTAGCGTAGTGGTTAAAGCGGTCGGTCTTGGAGCAAACCATGCGCTTTGGATAGAGTTCGAACCATACGTGAAGCTTTTTCTTTTTTGTTTTCACATATCTTAAAAACATGAGTGAAAAATAAATTATTAATAAAATATTAAAACAAAGAAATACAGAATCAAATGTGTAAAATATGATATGAACAGTATAATTTTGAAAAATATAACTTTTAGAATTGAGAAATGTCTTTTCTCAGAGCGGGGGATTGTCCTCGCCTTCTATACCTCCATTCTTCATGTTCTTTATGATATATTTTATGAGTTTTGGACTGTCTACGACAATATTCATTGTTAGCATTAGAAAATAAAATCAACTAAAAGACAATAAATTTCTTATAACTTTCCATAAAAATGTTAACATGGAGGATGACATTATGCCTGTTTTAAAGTTTTTTTTAAAATCACGTGATGTTTACAGAAGTTAAGGGCCACTCTGAGTTTCTTTTGTTCTCAAGTTTTCAGTCGGAATCAAAGACAGGAGTGTGTTTACTCCTCCAATTACCTGTGATAAGCAAGGTATTGTAAGTCTAGACGTGTATCATGAAAATAACCATTTGGATTTATAAAGCACAATTTACAACAAATCTTATATCCTTATAAAAGTGAATTTCTTTGTGCTGTCTATATCAATATTTCTTCACTTAGGGCAGTTATAGTAGTTTAAGTGTTGTTGTAAATTATGCTTTATAAATAAAATTAATTTTGTTACAACATGTATTGGTAACGATCCTCTAAAATCCAAATAACTGATCTCACTTCTATTCTCAATGACCGTGTAGTGTAGGGCAGCGTTGTGAGAATTCCATCTGCATCTAAAGCAAGTTTTTGACTTGCCTAGATAGCCGAGCGGTCTAAGGCGCGGTTCCTGTACTGCTAGGAGACAGATTCCTTTGGTCGAGAGTTCAATCCCGGTCTGGGGGGGGGGGAAGGGGGGGGGGAAGGGGGTGGGTGGGAGTGGGTATCCTTATAAAAGTGAATTTCTTTGTGCTTTCTATATTAATATTTGTTAACTTAGGGCAGTTATATTAGTTTAAGAGTTGTTGTAAATTGTGCTTTATAAATAAAATTAATTTAATTACAACATGTATTCGTAACGTTCCTCTAAAAACTTATGCCCAAATAACTGTATCTCACTTCTATTCTCAGTGACCGTGTAGAGGGCAGCGCTGTGAGAATTGCATCTACATCGAAAGCAAGTTTTTAACTTGCCTAGATAGCCGAGCGGTCTAATAAGTTACTTGTCAACTTTTATATATCGCAATTTGTTATAATTAGCTTCATGTTAACATTATCATCTTGACATGAATTAGTTGTATTCATATATTCACATAATCATCTTGTATTTTGACACAAGTCGCATGTCAAGATAATCTTGTGCATTTTGTTTATATGAAATATATGGAGAAAAACAAATAAGATTCAAGCTCAGTCCAATAAACAATACAAATATTATGTAATATTCAAGACGTTAGTAAGTAACCTTAAAGATTAAAATTAGATAATCTAAAGAAATTGGTTATTTGCATGTCAAAATAAGTATCTTGTATGTTATATAAACAAGTGGCATTTCTACATACTTATGTTTTCATGTTAACATGATTAAACTTGCTTATAGATGGCAGAAATATGCCACTAATATTTTTTCCTTTGTTTTGTTAATTTTCCAAAGAAGAATACAGAAATATTACAAAGACTTCTTTTAAAGCTCGCTTTGTTCTGCACGTTTCATTATAGAAACATTTCAACGTAAGCCCGTCACGCTTTCGGTTGAATCCTCCAATCCACTCGATGCAGAGCTGCACACGGAAGTTGAGTTCTGCCTTCTCAGCAATCTTTCCAACATGTTGCAGGTAGACGTTACCGGATTTGGCGAGAAATTCGTATTTAATATAAGTTCATTGTTGTTCTGATTGTTCTCAAACAGATCAAGCAAAATGTCGCACTGTTCTGTCGATAATTCCAAAACTCCTTCTTCGTCCTTAAAACCAGAATCTGCTTTGTCGTACGGAAATGAAGTTGTATCATTTCGCTCTTTTGATATTTCTGTGATCTGAACAGCTGAATGAGATAAAGGGGCAGTTTGTTCTTTTTTCTGCTTTTCCGGTTGATCAACGTGGTCAGTAAATTCATCATTAGATTTACTGTTATCACTTCGTGCATAAGAATGTCCTTCTTCAGCAGTTTTATTCTTGAAATGCTGCTGTAAGATTAGCTTAGAAGGTGGCATGAACTTCTGTTTGCTATTGGGCAGCCAAGCGCCGTCTTTGGCTCTTTTGCAAAAAGGTGTTGAGTTATTTGGTGTTTGCTCAAGAACTTTCGGCATGCCTTGCTTAACAAGATCCTCTACAAACGCATTAATTTCGGTTAAACGTTTCTTTGGCTTTTTCCTCCTTTTGGCCCTAGAGTAGTCGAACTCTTCTGACAAACCATGATACAGTTTCAACTTTAATTCCACTTGCTGAAAGAAAGTGTTATTTAATATTAATTTTGACATACTCTATTTAACCTATCTCAATTAAATAAATTCAGCATGTCACGTTGTAAATTTTGAACTTATTGTCTTCCGGTAAATTCAAAGCTTATTTCATGAATAATCATCCTTAGTGAACATTGTGCATTTTAAGAAATATTAATATGCAGTAGAATTTCTTGTTTAATCATCTGTTTCCCCCAATTACCTATTTAGTGAATTAGTAAGTCCGAGGGTGTGTTCCCCGAATGGCTACTCGGAAAAAACAACAAGTAATTATCACACTCAATTAAGGGGCCCTCTAAGGGGTACAGGTAGACTTACCTGTGTTTACCTGGATAAGCAATATTTTATAAATCAGATGCATTCATTCAATTTTATTTTAATTAAGAGGTTTTTTTTATTTTCCGAAATATACTTAATAAAATATAGATAGATAAATATAAATAGATAAAATTAAGATTTAAGAAAAATAATTTTTTTTGTACCTTTAATTTTATTTTTTCCAAACTATTCAACAGTATTGATTGAGAATTTACAAATTATTATCCCATTTTTGTGCTACATTTTCAAATTCTTTTAAATAAATTAACACAAATGATTTTTTTCTAAATAATATAGATATTCATGTATGATAAATAAAGTGTTTCTATAAAGTTTTGTCTAATTTATTCATTCATTTATTTATCATTTTTAATTATCAAAACATTCTTTTAAATCATATCATAAAATATAGAAGTTTATATTTCAATTTTTATAATAAATATAGACAATTCGAGTAAAAACAGATCACTTTGATTTTTAAGGAATTCCTAAGTTAATAAGTTAATTGATGAAGCATCTGATAATTGATATCAGTTCACTTTGAAATTTTAAATAAGCAAAACTATCGTGATAAGTGTCAAAGAAAATGATGTGCTGAACTTGTCTAATGAGGCAGTCCAAGCTGTAAATACAAGAACAACACAAGCTACAGCTCAGGGGTCTATGACAGGTGACCGAAAGACAACTCACCGAACGACAACTCGCCGACACTTTTTTCACCGACACTATAAAACTCGCCGATACGACAAGTCACCGAAAGAAGGGGCATGGACAGACACATCATCCACTGAATATATAAAACATCGAAATTTAACAAATATTTTATAGAAAATCGTGTTTGTGAATAAACGTTTTTATTCATTTTCAAATCTTTTTTCCATTAAATCAATAACGTCACCCAATATTGCCGACCTATGACCTTGCTCAGATTCGCGAGAAGCAATATGTATGCGCTGGGCCAACAATGATGGATATACAAAAAAGACAAAGAAATACGTTTTTTAATACATCATTGATTATGTTTATCATATCTGAATACTCAACACGACATCTATTCATCTAACAATTATTATAAAACATTGTCCGTGAATTTCTACCCACCGACACTATTGTCGGTGAATTGTCTATTCCGCGAATTTCACTTTTGTCGGTGACCTGTCTTTCGGTGAGTTGTCTGGCACCGACAGCTCAGTATATATACATCCCATATATGATCCCTTACTTGTGATGAAACATATGGAGATGGAGTAAATAAATTGTAAATATTGTAAATATGTGTGATATGAAAGTGAAACAGTGTTATTTAATATATAATGTGAAAATCAGTGCTGCTAAACAATAGAACTTCAAGATAATTTATAGTTTTTAATATGTTTTGGGCTTGTAAAATTATTTATTTAAAAAATATCTATACAAAATATTTATTCATACTAGTGCTCATATATAGAAAAATAAATTAAAAATCCATTTTATTCTATTTAAATTCTGGTAGATTATTCATACAGGTAAGTCTACCTGTACCCCTTAGAGGCCCCTTAATTGAGTGTGATAATTACTTGTTGTTTTTTTTTCGAGTAGCCATTCGGGGAATAAACCCGTTCGAGTGCGATTTCAAAATCTTGCCTTTTCGAAATATAAATGTAGTCTTTTGTAGTAACCCATGATGGAACTCTCTTTTTTTAGCTCACCTGAGCCGAAGGCTCAAGTGAGCTTTTCTGATCAAAATTTGTCCGACGTCTGTCGTCGTTGTTGTTGTTGTAGTTGTTGTCGTCGTTAACTTTTCACATTTTCATCTTCTCCTCAAGAACCACTGGGCCAATTTCAACCAAACTTGGCACAAAGTATCCTTGGGTGAAGGGGATTCAAATTTGTTCAAATGAAGGGCCACGCCCTTTTCCAAGGGGAGATAATCATTAATTAGAAAAAAATTATTGGCATTTTTAAAAAATCTTCTTCTCAAGAACCACTGGGCCAGGAAAGATGAAACTCATGTGGAATCATCCTCAGGTAGTGTAGATTAAAGTTTGTTCATGTTATGACCCCCGGGAGTAGGGCGGGGCCAAAATGGCCGACCACAGTTTTACATAGAAATATATAGGGAAACCTTTTTAAATATTCTTTTCAAGTACTTCAAAGCCAGGATTAGTAATATTTATATGAAATCATCCTCAGGTAATGTAGATTCTTGTTCGTTCAAATTATGATCCCCTTGGTGGTTAAAATTCAAGCCCCCCCCCCCCCCCCCTCAGTAAACTTTCAGTTCTGATCTGATATGTGTTTTTTTCCGAGCTGATGTGCTCAGGTGAGCGCTGTGGCTCCTGGGCCTCTTGTTAGATGACTGGTCGTTTTTTAGTCACATTGGTGTCTCTTTTGTCATGTAAATGTATTCTGATGTCACAGAAAAAGTTTCTTGACCCAAATATCTATGGCACGCAGAGCATGCTCGTAAGTAGCGAATAAGTTGGAACAACACATACACCTTGTACAGGTGAATTGACTATGTTCAAACTGAAGTTATTTCGTGTGTAATAAATAGATGTTAGTTGGACTTCTTAGTTTTAGTGTATACCCCTAATATGAAACAGATGTGGCAGTATTTTAGTGTCTTAATTTGAAGTTCATCGGGATTTATCAAGTCATATGTACAGGAATTAATATTATTTATTGATTAAATCTGAATGTGATTTGAAGGCAAATATAGGTGTAGAAAAGAACATTTTTAACAATTTAAGTTTTTCACTAAATGGCTTTAAGAGAACAACCTTAGCACAAGTTCATCGATATCTGTCCCTTTGGCAATTTATTTTATAATATTTGTTGTTCTAGAAGGTAAATTAAACGTAATAATACCAACAGCTTAACTGTTTCATTTTGACCAGTAAAGAAGATTTATTTGCAAAGAATGCGTTGATTTTAATTGTTTTAGCTGAGATTTTCTATGATGGACTGGGACCCAGTAATTCACAATGTGTATTTCCCTCTACCAATTCTGCTATATATCATATTTTTTCAGAAGGGTATAGCACTTTCAGAGAAGAAGGTAGAAAAATTGAGTGTTAAGTCATAAAAACTGAGCAACACCACCAATGAAAAAAAAACCGAAATACATCACATAATTGGATGTCTCATATATACTCTGATTTAAAAAAAAAACAACATACAATGAAATGCCAAATGTACAAACGGAAAAAATGGTCTTGCCTTGAATACATTTTGTAGCAGAACTATTAATAAGAAGCAACTAACAAATAAATCCCCCTAATTTTCTTTAAACTTTGGAGACGTCTTGACTTATCAAATAGTATTAATTATCATCATTTTCCTTAATTCATGTTATTTCTCCACCTTGTTTTGTAATGCATTTGATATTGTTTTTAAATTTTGAAAATTTTGAAAATGTGACTCCTTACGAAAATTCTGATGAGCAGTTTCTGATATTTCGAATGCATGGTCTTTTGGTCTTCCTTCAACTTCTGCAAATTGTGTCTTTTCGTCATTAATTCCTTCATGTACGCCACAGATTCTTTCAAAATAGATCCTTTGCTCTGCTTAAAGGTGCTGTAAATAAATACATTCATTCAATTTAGTCATTCATTGACGTGAAAACAACACTTTACTTTCGCTCTGCTTATATATGTTTATTGTTTCAATGAAACATATGGAGATAACGAACAGTATTCATGACCAAACATCCATAAAACAATACAGATTAGGGGCAGAGCCAACATGGAGCAAAGCTAACACTCTAAAACATCAGAGGTGGGATCCGGTGCCATGGAGGAGTGAACATCCCTTGCCGACCGGTCACGCCCGCCATGTGCTCCTTGTCATGATCGGGGAATGACGGAAAAATCCGCCGTCAATTCAGTGTATAAATAATGGACTAACAATTCATATGAAAAACTTCAATCAGCATTTGACTCATTGAAAAATTGCATTTGTTGAAAAGGTCATTGTATCGACCCAAGAACTTACGAAATGATTACTTTAAAGACATACGCAACATACCTTACCTACTGATAAATGTTCAAGATATTCTTAATTTAAGATTATAATGTCATCAGATGTTCTTAGATAAAAGTCAGCATGCACTACCAGATGTATTTAAAATATATATATTGATTCAAATTATTGAATAATTCAAAGAAAAGTATATGAATTACAAGATATATACTCTACATGTTTCTTTTATCAAAACCTGTTTTAGTAGAAGGGATCATCACCATAGTAATATAGCACACAGTTTCTTGTGAAAAGTATTGAAACGCATACACTCCAAAGAGATGACGAAAATGTTAAAAGTATGTTGCCTATGTCCTTACACAAGACTTCTAATATTCTTGTTTCATCAACTTCTTTATCAATAATGTAACTCGATTTAGAAATTGTTCATACGTAGAGCCTGCTCTTGCGTATCAACTGAGATACATGTATATAAGCTCCGTATAAATGTGTTGAAGGTATGTATATTGCTGCAAAAGTAAGGAAAGTTGACGATTGAAAAGTTAAAGAAATCACATTTTTCAAAGAGCTTGGTTGTTAGATTACCATCAACGTCTTTTTCAAGTAAAATATCCAAATATGAAACAGATGTGTCAGACTCTATTGTATCTTTTTTCTCTAGCTCACCAAGATAGAATGAAAATTACCATTGTTAATTATCAATTCGTCGTCGATATATTTAAATGTCGAACTGAAGGCCACAGCAAATGTTTCCTTCTTTGCAGGCATAAAATTTTGCACAAATTCTTTTTATATGAATACAAAAATAGGTCTGCTAATAACACGGTGTAATTGGTACCCTTGGGAATTCCAATAGATTGTTGGAAGACCTGGTCAATCAGAAACTCAAGCATCTTTTTGATGTCAACTTCAGAGTACTTGTGTGTACAATCAGAGTGTCTTTTAACAAAATAATTTTGCAAATGAACATTGACAAGGGACGTAAATTTATGAGTTCCATTTTTATTCAAAAAGCAGCTGTCATTAAAAGCCTGGACTTTAAGGTATGTCACTCGTGAAACTTGCTTCTTTGTGGATTTTTGAGCAGTTTTATCATTGAACGTTGAACAATTTACGTTGTTTAATTTAAATATGTTATAAAAATTGAATTAGACTAAATGGTTTTAAATCTAAGAGGTTCTGCGCGAACTTTTCTAAAACGGTGACGAGTGACATACCTGAATTTATCGTGGGGAATAACTGTGTAGATAATGTACATGTAATATCTTGTATTGACACACAATCGTCATAAAAAAAAACTTACAGAGGCACGCTGTCCGGAAGGAGAGATGCCAGTTCTTTAATTCTATCGTTTATGTTGTGTCGCCGCCGTCGTTCAACTACAATGGTGGTTAGAACACTGTTAAGAGACATGATACTAAAGGTGTATATTCTGGTTTGAAATGAATTCCATTAAAAATTCACTTAATGTTTGAAATATTTGTGTTGAATATGTAAAATCTGTTTGATAGATTTCATCGATTTTATAACTACATAGAAATCAAATTTTTTTCAAAAATTAAGATCGGGGCATTTGAAAAGTTCTGAGGGGTAGATTTTACGTTACAGGTCCCCATATCCGGAAGATCATCGCTCTCATTGGACTATGACGTAACATTTACGTCACTCAACTGATAAGGGTTAAACTTGCGCACTATTTGACTGATTATGGTTAGTCTTGCACCCATCTGAGAGATTCGGGTTAGTCCTCGCACATTATTCGACAGATTAGGGTTAGTGTAGCATCTGCCCGGGAGATTTCGTCTAAACGTATTAGTCCTTGCATACCATTCGAGAAATTTGGGTTGGTGAATCGGTCTTTAAGATAAGGTAGGAAATTCAGTTGCTTTTGTAATTTTTGCAAGATCATAATTAAGCTTCAAAGGCATTTCGTTGGTTTGTTTACATGGACGAATGGCTAAGTCCGAAAGAAATGACACTAAGCATGCGCCGCACGCGCTTCGTTCAGAATTATTCTTTGTCGATTTTTTTCCACGAATAATCATTTTTTTCACGAATAAACAATATTGATTTATCTTTTTAGAGAACGAATTTAAACTTCGTGTAAACTAAACTTTTAACCGTAGAATTCGATTTTGGGGTCAAAAAGGCCAAAAACTTGGTATTTAAATTTTCTTGATCGCTCACGCGATCTCATATACACTGAAGTCGCTTTCGGTGACACATTTTAGCGCGTTTTTCTGGGGACCGGTAAAGTAAAGTCGTTCTATTCTGAAAATGGTTTGGTCAAATATTTAAAACGAATGTGCAGTTAGCATATGATGGTATGCTTCGTCACATTTTAGAACTTATATATGTCTCGTGCGCTTTGTAGAGGCGGATCTAGTATAAAAGTGAATTAGGACGGTAATCCAATAATCTTTACGGTCTTCCACACCGTCGACATATTATCAAACGATTCTTAGAACTTTCAAATGCAAACAAACAACCTTCGTATTAGCTATATTTTATACCTACTTATATTATGTTTGTCCTTCTTTTTCCGGTCCTCTCGCCAGTTTCCTTCCTCCGCAATAGTCTCCGACTTCCGGGTACTGTTTTCTGGTGAAGGATTTTTACCTTTTGTGTTTTGGGCATGGCAATGCTCAGTAGAGGAGCTAGTCTAAATAAAATGTAAAGATGATGAACAAAAATCAATCTCCATGAGACATTAAACTTACCCAATGTAAGGTCATGAACAAGGCATGGTCATACGGAGAAAAAAAAATAAATCTATAACTTTTTCTACTTATAAAGTAATATAAATTAGTAAATCCTGGCCCAAGTATTTCAATTTCAGATATGAAGACTTAAAAAAATGTTTCACTTTTGTGGTACAATGAAATAAAACATTTGGAGTAATGATTTTCCTTAAGTTCAAGAAAATAAAGAAGATACCTATATTAAATTTGATGTTATTTTAAAGAATAGGCCTTTAACAAACAATATACCGTTTCCTGATAGACTGTAGGCAATCTAGATACATTTCCTTTGTCGAATATGAAAAAAACCCTCCCATATTCATGACTGGTTTTCTTAATTTGACAGTTTAAAATATGATTTTTTCATCTTGTTTATCTACAAATTATGCCCCAAAACATCTTATTTGACCACGCTTAAGTTATAAAGCATCATTAGAGGAATTTATTTCTTAAATTTGATAAATCAGTAGGCATCTTTTATTTACTAGATCATGACCTTAATACATGTAATACAATAAAGGAAAGACCCAGAATATATGTCATGGGATGACCTATTCTGACCGAGGCAGTGAAGCATTATTGAAATGATAAAATTAAAATTGTGAAAACAGTAGATACATTAATATTATAACCTTGTCAGGGCACGGAATTTTCTATAGAATGCCATGGATGTTATGGGAAATAAACCAAGGGTTTTCAAGAGTTTTTATCAAGAAACTCTTACCAATTATTAAGTGTTTCTTGTGTTACTTACCGAAAAACTACCCGTCTGCTCAATAGATTCAAAATCTTCGTCAAAAGATGTATCATCTAATACAGAGTTCATCACATCACCGAGGACATTCTCCACCTGCAAACATTGTGTTCATAAATAATATAACTAAAAAAAAACAGGCCGAGCAGTGACAAATTGAAAACAGTGTTATTTTACACAGAAACACGTGTGCATTTAAAGGAGTTCATTAAGATTCAACAAGACACAAGATAAATTAAATATACAGATAATTATGCAACATTGAAACTTTCTTAAAATCTTATTAAAACTTAAATTGCAAATGATGCTTAAAACATTGATTTTTGCTTGAAAAGGATAACTGTAGATGAACAACATACATCATCTAGATCCTCCATATTCAATATGGCGCACCGAAGGTCCTCAGACAGAGGGAGTCCCGCCACTTCACTGGAAGTACATTCTATTAGAGATCCTAGATCCGCACCCACATTGTTATTTTTGCTGCTAGATACTTGTTCATTTAGGTCGTTTATGGTAATTGCAGTAGAATAGCCACTGTTGGAAATTCTAGCTCTACTTATCTGCAATTGCAACAATACAAAATTTGTGTTTAGAAGTTCGATGCCATATTTTTTTCAAATACAGCCTTTCAAAAGATTGGTCCATAAATTTGGCGACTTCACAGAAAACAATATCAACCAAGCATAAGTTAACAGAAAGATATACATGTATATATAGATCTACTTTCGGATAAACCGAATGAAAATGCTGCAAATTTGATTTCTTTTCAAAAAATTCTTTTTCATTATTTATTAAAGGAAGATTGCCAAAATATACCAAAACAAATATATCATTAGAATTCATTGAGAGAAAAAAATCTCTTTCAAATTTCAACGTCACATATCTATCCTAATTTGATATTACAAAGTTCTCTCTGATTTTTTTAATCTTCAGATAAATCAGGGTTTATCTGATTTGTTACTGTTCGTTATCTCCATATCCCCCTTCTACATTTATTTACTATTTATATACTTTCATGTGACATTAAACGGACTAGTTATAATTTAGCATTTCCACATATAGATATGAATAGAGTTAGATATGGATTTCCGGATTAAAACTGTTTATATTGTGTTTTAAGTTCAGATGATATTAATTAAAGTTAATCACTTTTTATTCCTTTATATTGATTTATTTTAGCATAATCATAATGATAATTTGCTGACATTATTAAAAAGAGATAGCATCTGGTTTATGATAATTATTGGATTAAGAATGAAAACTGATAGTGCATAAAGTAATTTTCATCAATTTGTATTTCAACCAAGCTAGGATAAAGTAGTGTGCAAAGACATGTGCATTTAAAGTGGAGGTCAATTGGTTGACATATTTTAGCTGGCTTTGGTAAATGTGTTCTGAGGACACGAAACCAGAAGTTTACTGATAATAAGGGACAACGCCTTTGAAGACCTCTGTGTTTGGATACAAATCTTATGGCGATTATAAACTGCAAATCACTTAGTCAAAAATATTTTGAACTAAGATTTTACAAACAAAATAAAACGCATGTTTTAACTATAAATGTAAGACAAATGACCTATAGATAAGCTAATATTTGTCTGGGTCCTTCGGATTCTTCGACTTTTTCCTGGGGTCTTTGACCGTTTAAAATCTCTTGACCTCAAACATGTTGTTCTCGTTCAAGGGATATCATGTATGCCCGTCAATTGGAATGTGTAAGGTGAAACACTAGTATGTAAACCAGGTACATGTAGGAAAGTTTAACGAAGTAATCTCAGTACATGTTCAACAATTTTGTTTACACAAATTAGTAGATTTTGACTGAATCCCCTTTTATCTTACCTGTAAGGAATGGTAAACTCCTGGATTTTCTAGGTAGAAATTTTTTTTTTATTTACTCTTTATAAAAAAAAAATCTGATTAATATTGCACAAAATTTAATCAAAAATTGATCACGTATATCATGCCGAAGTTGAATTTTTTTGGTTACAAACAAACACCCATGAACTTTGAGAAACACCGTGTGCCCCTTTGATGACATTATGACAAGGTGAAACACGTGTTTGTAAACGAGGTAGAACTATTTTGTTTACACGCTGTAGTAGACTTTGACCACTTTTCCTTTTCTATTTCATATAAGAAATGAGAATCTCTTGACCCGAGGATCACGAAACAGACTCAAACTTAAGGATACACCAAAGGTTTCCAAAGTGCAAAATTTAAATTGCTTGTAATTCTTTCATTAACAAAGATAACATATTAAAAGTATATATCATTTCAAAGCTTATTAAATTTACTATTTAATGATCATAATTTAAATTTTCGTTTTTATCTTATTAAAAAACTATTAATATTTTAATTTAAATATTATTGCATTTATATTTTATAAATCAACTTTTTCTTATTCCACCTTCCAAAGTCAAAATTTTGCCTCAATATAGATTAAAGATTGAACTTTAAATCCGTATCTCAGATTTTTGATAAATCTTCTTATTCAAAAATTACATCCATTTGTCTCTCAATGTTACCAATCTATAGGCCCAATTCTACATTTCCCCCAAGAATTCTAGAACTGAGCAAGATAACACACATTTGAGACGCATTCTGGCCAGTTTTCAGAAAAATTGGTCAATAAATAAGGGAGCTGAATCCTTTGAAATAATACCACCAACTGTCTGATCTTACTTTACAGTAGAGGGCAAAAACCCATTACACAACAAAGTCTGCCAAAGCTAGAAATATATGACATCTTGGAGATTCAGCTTTAGATACCTGTCACTCATCCATATTTCCTTTGCATATTCACAAGAATGGGAGGTTCTATTCTTTATTTTCTTTATTTAGGTGCTTTTAATGAAGTAAAATAGGTTCAATTCTGAACCAGAAAGATTTCCCGGCAAAATGGCAAGAGCTAAGCTCCACCTCCTATTTCATGGTCATTAGTGACCTGTTAGATCTCCTTCCTTAAAGCTAGAGTCCCTGTAGTTTAATTATGTTCCCCAAACGAAGTTGGGGAACATATTGTTTTTACTCTGTTTCTTCTTCCTGGGTACTTTTTTGTCCGGGAATGATCTTGTAAACTGTTCGTCCGATGTAGGTAAAACCTTTTTAGCGTCAGTAGACATGTTATGTAGATTTGCGGAATCAAGGTCATTTTGCGCGCACGTGCTTGCAAGAGCGCGCACGTGCAACACGTGAAATGACCAATATAATAGATAGAGCCGCAACTTTTCTTTTTTTTGATGAAATGCTTTGAAACTCATAATGTGAGGAAATATTAGTAGTATAGACATGACGACATGGTCAAAATTGCAAGATCTCACGCGCATGCACGTGCGCTTCGCTCTGATTGGCTGACACTAAAGTCTCAATATCTTTCTTGTTTTTTGACGAAATCCTTTGAAATTTTAAACATAGCCATGCATTATGATATCCTACAACGTGATATATAGCAATTATCATCAAAACACGTGCATGCACGTGCTCTGCAATCTGATTGGCTTAAACTTTAAATAGCTATAACTCCCTTGGTTTTCAACCAAACAGGATGGGGTTTGGAACATAGATAGATATAATAGACTCCTACAAGAAGGAATGGTCACCATGCACATGCATACACATGCGTGTACGTGCGCTGCAATCTGATTGGTTGAAACTTTAAACAGCTATAACTCCCTTGGTTTTCAACCAAACGGGGTGGGGTTTAGAACAACGATAGATGTAATGGACTTCTATAAGAAGGGATGGTCACATGCCCGTGTATGCACGTGTGTGCATGTGAAATGAGTAAAATCAAAAATACACTTGAATGAGCGTATTTTTTAAAAATATTTCATATTTAGTATATTTAAATATATAGATCATGTAGACATTAAGCACATGCATTCACATGCGCACGCACGCAATGCCAAAATTTGAATGAAGTTGGTACACTTCTGGGTAAACGTTGTTAAAGTCTCAAAAACAAAGAGTTTGTCTTATTTAATGAAGCTTACAGGGAATATGGCACCAAAAGGGAGTTGGGGAGCGTTTGGGGAACATCTGTAACGGTCCCCGTTACAATTAGCACTAGTTACTGATAATCTC